TGCGGTGGCAAACTCACTGACTAGGGATGGGAATTAAAACTGATTGGATTGCCTCTGAGTTTATGAATTCCTTTTATTGAATTTCCCCTCTTACTCTCACCTTCCTCTACCTACCTCCTGACTTCCTGGAGGGGCGGAGTCTCAGTGAAGCTGGCCTCAACCCTCCACATGTTTGAACTGTGTATATGACAAACACATACATATAGCAGCTCCAGTAGTTTATGAGTATTTGCTCTACTGATTAAGTTTCAGTTGTGTCATTTCGTCATCGGTAGGTTTACAAAGTGTTTAAGGTTAAATAACCTTTGTCTAGATTCATAATATCTTCTGTTATTAGACCAACCAGTTTAAACCTTCTCACAATAAAAGACTGGACCGCCTGTCTGCACCAATAATAATAATAACAATAATAATAATAATAATAAAATAATAACCAGCCATTGTCAAACTACCCTGCTGTATATCCTTCTAGTCTTACACTCCAGGAATGTATCTGACTCTACGTACGAGTGCCGCTGCTTCCCAACCGAGCAGCACATCCGGGACCGAGGGTAAATATCCTATATTATAACAACAGTGCCACAGTCATACAGCGGAGAACCGGTTCCAAATTAAACAGCATTTAAAACAGTGGAGCTTCTGTACACCTGAGTCACATACATGGATATTTCTACTCTGTTTCTGCACCGTGTTCAGACTCAGACATTTTAGCATATTATATTATTAGAACAGCTGACGGGCCTATTTTCTGTCTACACATTGGATCAATGAGCAGAAACAATGGCGGCAATTCCCACAAACAGCAGCCCGCACTCATTCGTGTCACTTATTATTCCAAATTCAACATTTTGTGGTTAATTAAGTGTAATAACCTGTTTAAGGTTACAATATGTACAGTCTATAAGAGCAACAGAGTAACATTATGCGGTTTACTATGAAAATGGAGGACGGCGTTCGGCTCGCTCGGCCGCAGCAGGCCGCTCGCCAAGAGCTCGTAAAATGATTTATATGCAAGGATGTGCGGTTGGTGTGGTAAGAGCCAACGTCTCATCCTGTAAGATAGTTTGTACATTGAGTGGTGATTGTGATCATTTAAGAAACAACCTCAGCCACGACAACAGCAATGGATTCTGACACGCTGACTGGTTTCTATTTGGGTCCAAGAGCCAGTAGAACAGAAACTGGATGATTCACTGTGGAGGAAGTGAGACCAGGTCAAACGGTCAATCAAGGACGCCTTAATGTCGGCTGTGAACAGGGGCTTCATTTTAAATGCAACATGAAAGTCGTGCAGACGTAATGATACGGTGATAAATCCACAGAGTGCTGCGACAGGAGCGTCAGACGGGTTTGAACACTAACTGAACTAGTTTGACTTTATAAATCATCTGTTGGATTATAAACCTGCTGCTGTGAAGCACAAAGTAAACACTGTCGATCAGTGATGAAGCAGGAAGTTGCTGCTGTTGTTTCCGATTCTAAAGACGTGATCTGAATCAAACTGCAGGTTTCACTGATGAATCTTATATTGAAGTTGTTTATTCTAAAAAATGTGATTTAACATACAGCCTCGATTTACTTACGTTCATATTCTGGCCACCAAACATTTACTTTGGCCACCAAATTCAGGGGCTTGGTTGAGCTTCAATGATTAGTACATTAATTGCTTAAACTGTTTTCACTTTTAAAACAAAGCTGCCACATATGAAGATTTGATGCTTTTCTTTGTCTTATATGAGTTGGACACAATATCTTTTGGTCTGTTGGATGAAAACAAGTTAAATTAATCTACTTTGGCTTTAGGGAAATCATATCACGCCTTTCTTTATAATGTTATTTTACAGACAATCATTGGAGAAAATAATGGTCAGCTGCAGCTTCAGTTTGCACCAAGATAATCACAGATAAAGATGTGACATTACTCAATAATATTCAGATACAATCAGGTCACTCAAGTGCCGTGTTTTATCCACAACCCAAAGATATTCAGTTTACTGTCATAGAGGACGAAAGAAAGCAGGAAATATTCACATTTAAGGAGCTAAAATCTGACTTTTGTTCTTAAAAAATGACTCAATTATCAATAAATCCTTCCAGCTCTCACCGACACTCACTATAAAGCCCTCTAAAGCTGAAGGAAGCTGCTGATAATTCACTACCAGACAGCTGTTATTATTGATCCATTCATAGAAAGAGATTCATTATGGCAGCTTTATGTTCCTACAGTGGAGTTACATGTACAACAACTGGGGTTCAAACCCGAGTTTGTGCTCCTGTGAGCTGAAAAGAGCTGGAAACATAAAACTTAACTGTAAACGACGTGTGTGCGCCTCCCAAGAAACACGAGCTATGTCGGCCAGATGGTGGCGCTGTAATTAGGCCACGCCCCTCACACCTGTAGTGGACTCAGTGTGCGTGTGATTGGTCTCAAACGGACCTGGAGTGACTTTGTTTGGCTCTGTGAAGCTTTAAGAGTATCTGCATGTAAAACGTTCCACTGCAGGTTGTTCAGCAGTAAACTGCCCCAACAGAGACGATCAATACACTGATAATCTATAATATCCACAGCTGATCGGCCACCTCCTCCCACACAAACCACAGACTTCCTGTGCGATAGCGTGCGTATGTAGCGAAGGGTGCATATCAGTTGTTTCTTCAGCAGTCGTCACTGTTTGCATAATGTTTGTCTTTCCTCCTGCTCGTTTCCTCTCCTCCCTGTTTCCCACCTGTTTCCTAACAGGAAGTGACTGAGAGTTCAGCGTGGACAGAGAGAGAGAGACAGACAGACAGACAGACAGAGAGAGACAGAGAGAGAGAGAGACACACAGAGAGAGAGAGACAGACAGACAGAGACAGACAGAGAGACAGAGAGAGGCAGGAAAGTTAACAGAGACAAATGTTTACTTAAATCACAGAAGGTCGAGAGGCCTGATTGTACGTTTCAGTCCAACAGAGGAACAACAGTCAGACCACAGACGCTGTACACCTGCCTTCGACAACGTCGACGCCCTGAGAGCCGCAGCAATCCCTCAATTAGTCAACTCACATTACTTTCAATTGTTTCAGTCAATTTCCAAGAAAGAAAATGTCAAAAAATGTTTGTTTCCAGCCTCTTAAATGTAAGAAAATGCTGCTTTTCATTTTACTGACATTTTACAAACTGTTTCAGACGTAATCACAACTACAGTAAAGTAATGGAGTACTTTCAGACCACATACATCCGTCTCCTAAAAGACATTTACAGTGTAGATTCACTTTAAAATGTACGTTTAATAGCAAAGTGTCAAATCTTTTCTGGTTCCTGAGCTTTTATCACAACTGTCTGTCGTTCTATAGACGTCAACCACCGGTTCAGACCTGATCGTACACTTTACTCACAACTTACTCAGAGAAAGAGGAACATTATTCAGTATTTTAAGCTAAAGGAGCAGATATATAAATATAAAAAAGGTGTAAAAAGAGCAACCGTTTGTCTCTACAACAAACATGCAGCACGTAAACAGATTAAAGCTGAGAGTCAGCACTTTAACCTCACAGTCATCATTTTATTAAAAATCAGTTGTGCAGGAGTACAGAGCGAACAGAAAACACCCGGACACAGCGGCGTGAACGAGGTCTGCCCGACAGAAACACAACAGAAAGATTTAAAAAGCTCAAAGTGGAGCAGTGTTTGTTGTTCTGTGTGCTGGATTAATTCAGCCTCAGAGGTCTGAAAACAGGGTCTCTAATACTGATCCGGATCTCTGGATTAAGAACAAAAACAGTGGCAGGAAAGCAGACAGTGCTAACCCCGTTAACTGGGAGTGTATGAGAGCTGGAAGCAGATTAAAGAAACCTGAAAATCAGCTGCTTTAAATCTGTTTCAGTTAAACTCAGCATCTTGGAGCCGCTGTGATTATTCTGGCTGGCTATATGATTCACAATCTCCACTGAACACAACTATTGAGATCATAATGACATTATAATCACTTTCTACCTTCTTAAAAACACTGCAGCTTTTACAATTTGTGAAAAATCTGTAAGCTAAAAAGCTGAACTTTAATTACAGACAATGACTGTATTTTCACCAGTCAGCTATTTTCAGTTATTTTATTAATATTCTGATTTATTGTGCAGCTCTAGTTTCCTCTGTTTACCTGCTCACTCACAGCAGCATCTAAACCAAACCTCATGTATTAAATATATTAAATATATTATATATATTATATATATTATATATAAGAGAAGCTTCCGAACTGATTAAAACACATTTACAGATAATTAGCATGAAGCCTGCGGTACCCTCATACCCGATATTAGCCTCTATTAGTGGCAGGCTAACCTCAGTGTGCGCGCTCGCACCAAACTCCATTAGAATTTATTTAGATTTTATTCTTAATCACTTTAATCTCTAAAAGAGAACAAAATAAAACACAGACGTGTGTGTTTTATGAATCAGTTAAGTCTTCTGTTAACATCGGCTGTGACAACAACCACCGAGCAGCTCTTTAATTAAATAAACTCTCGTGTTTAAGTGCAGCTTTCCCCCGGTGGATACCGCCCACTACGGCCGTATTTTGCCTGAAAAGCACCGTGGGAATTCCTCTGTACAACACTAAAATATGACCTGTTACATATAAACAGTGCAGCTGCATGCAGTGCGTTAAACAGCCGCTGTTAATGATGTGTCTGTTCCTATTATTTCACATTACACAGCCACATTAGCGAGAGATGTAGATTTGACAGATTTGTGAAGGGAGACTGGAGCGGTTAGCTAACCCCACCCTGCTGAGCTAACTTCGCCTCCTCCGAACGAGGTCACCGTAATACGGGTTCAAACCCGGACCGAAGGGGCCCGCCCGGTGATCTCAGCACCGGCTTATATCCCCCTATAAAGCGGGTAAATGTGTGCAGCCCCCCCCACCCACCCACCACCACCCGGGCCAGCAGCGAGCAGCTACCGTTAGCAAAGTGCGTGATGCTAACTAGCCGTTAGCCGCTGTTAGCCTTCGCCGTCCTACCTGGTGCCCGCCTTGTCCCCCATCTCCTCGGCAGGCGGACGGCAGCAAGATCCCCACAAAATGAGCCCGGACTCCGGCGGTGTGTGCACTGCAGAGGACGAGAGTTTTCTCCAGGAAGCTCCGTTCACCCGTCCATCCGCACAGATAAACAGTTAGTATGCTAATTTCATTTAGCGCCGCCTCGGCTGCTCTGGCTTCCGCAAAGGCAGGATCCCTGTGTGTGTGTGTGTGTGTGTGTGTGTGTGTGTGTGTGTGTGTGTGTGTGTGTGTGTGTGTGTGTGGCTGCAGATCACGTTGCGCAGAAACACAACAAGAAGCATTAAATGTTAAGAAGACAGAAGATGATTCATTGTTGTGGACGGACTCACCTGCGGACTCACCTGCACTCTGAAAGCTCTTCCTGTCATCGATTAGACTGATTCTTTCTATTTATTGGATGTTTCATATTATATTCAGTGCATATTAATACATTATACTGTTCCTCTATTTAACAATGTGTGACAGACACAAAGTCACAAAACTCAATTTATTTCTGTTTTTATTTTAATATTCAAACATTTTATCTTCCTGTAAAATAAAATAGCATCAACTAACTGATTTCACCCAGTAATATCAAACATTCAGCCTCCAGTGAACTCAGAGACAGACAGAGGACAGGTTGAGGAGATTAAGGAGCCAAAACCAGCAATAAAAACACCTTCAGTACCTTTTTCTCTGTCCTTACGTTTATTAAATAATAAAACTGTGATTGTTACTCACGTTGTTTAAGTCTTAAACCGTTTAAGTTTATTACCTCTAACAAATTAAAGTAAAACAATATTTAAGTAATAGTAACTCATTTGTTGTCACTTGGGTAAATTGTACCAATTTCATTCAGTTAATGAAACTTAAATCTAGTGAGTATATGACAAAACTTATTTAAAATGTGTTATTTATCTGAATAAAGAATCTTTAATGGCTCTTTTTTTATGCAACAGCTGTTGTTTTAGGAACAATTGAACCTTTTTTAAACATGAAACTTTACATCTTCAGCAGGAACCAATGAGCTGAGAGACAATTCAAAGTTATTTAAATGTAATTTAAATTAGCTGACTGAGCACTAAACTGCTCAACCTCTTCCTTCACTTTCCTTTCGCTGTATCGCTGCCTCTGTCACAACTTCAACCTCTATCACCTCTAAAAGGTTAAACGGTTCTTTAAAAGGTTGAAAACCACACAATAAACCACACAGAGTGAATACATGTTAAACAGAGCTCCTAAAGGAGAAGTGAAACAAGTCGCTGAGTAAGAATTATTGTATTCAATAAGCAAAAATGTGAATCTTCTCGCCAGCGTTGGAAGTCAGTTTCTGCTTTTGAAGCTTCCCGTCGACTCCGGTGACGATATTCGATTTTTGATATTTGAGTTTGTGCCAGTTAATATCAGATACAAGGTCACATGTATGTACTGACAGTGTGTTTGTGACAGCTGTAACAGCTGTATGAGCGACTGGTACCAAAGTCACAGAACAATGTCAGACCTTACAGTGTTTGTGTGTATTTAGATCTGTAAGCTCTTTAAGACATTTTGAACATTTAATATTTAAATATTCTTATTTATGTATGTATCAGTGTTATGATTACTTATCATTTACTTATATTAGTGGTTCCTAACCTGGGGTTGGGACCTCCACTAGGGGGACACAATGACGTAGATCTCGCTGGATTTAGGCGGTCGCGCGCCACTCTTCTTTTTTCAGCTGAGTGCGCCAAAGCGGAAACAGGAAGATGGACGAATTCGAGGGCAAGCTTTCCGAGCAAGTGCGCCTCTACAGGCATCTGTACGATCCTTCAATGAAGGAACACAGAGATGCCCAGAGGTGCCAGAATTCATGGCGAGAAATCGCCATGAATGTTGGAAAAGAGGAGGCCATATGCCGGAAAATGTGGAGGAACCTCTGTGACCGATTTGGAAAATCAAAAATGAGGTCGCAGGCAGCTTCTTCTTCTAGTGCGTAGAAATAGCAGAGTCGGTAGCCTTTCCTCAGGTGTAACACCTCTGTTGAGGAGAAGACTGCAACTAGTGTCGCGACCACAACGCGCAAGTATAAATAGTTACGGGGCACCTGTGACGTCACATTGTCGCGCTATAGGTCGGGAACGGCGAGTATATAAGAGCCTTTAAAGGGGACTTTACTTCTGTGAAAGTAAACTGTCTAACAGAACAAGTGTCAGGGAGAAGAATCCTGTTCAATCTGTATGATGGTTAAAAGTTAGAATAAAAACATAATTCAGACAGAGAATGTATAAAAAGTTCCCTAAACAGAAAGTAATCTGATTAAAATTCATCCAGATCTGTTTTTGCTCAAGATTATTATATTATTATTATCTGCACAATAAAACCCAAAGAGCTGCGTAACAATGTTGTTGTGGACTGTAGTGTAAAATAAAAAAAGCACAAAAACCAAACAGTCTGAGATTAAATGATCCTGTAGATTATTTATCACACACAACATTATGTGACTGTATTCTGTTACACTGTGTGTAGATCTCCATACTGGCAGCTCTGACCATAAAGAATGATTTTAAAATGGTCAATTAATCATAAGAAACATACAAACAGCACTCGTGTTCTTCAGCCGGCAGCATTTCTACGTGGTGGTGGAGGGGGGAGAGATGACGTGAGGAAGCATAAATGAGCGTAATGAAAAGAGTCTGAACAAGGATTGTAGACATGAAGAGAAATACAGAACATCACGAGACTGATCATTTAATTAAAACCAGCACAATGGTTGCTTCCTGTGGAGTAATAAATCTGCAGAGAACAGAAATAAATACAGTCAATATTTAATAAAACATTTACAGTTTGTACATCTTATTGTGAAATCTACTTCCTCCCATCATGAAACTGATGAGTGGTCAGACCGGGAGGTGACTGGAGTTAAATCCTGATGGTGTAGGAGTCGGAGTGCGTGACGTATCGGACCCAGCGCTGCGACGGGCCCGGCTGGATAGGGGACAGGCGGAGGAAGCGGATCTGCAGCCCCGTGACGGTGAGCTTGGGCAGCTCGAAGCTCAGGCCAACCGGACCGACCTCCAGCATGGAGGCCGAGCTGAGGCCGGGGACCTCCAGCTGAGGACAGACAGGAGTCACCGTGAGTTCATCACACAGACGCAGGCTGTTGTTTCCTGGTTAACTCACACAGGAAAACCCAAATCCACTCTGCTTCAGACTCCTTAAATCCCATCACACAGGTCTAATCTGTGATTTCCTAGAAAGAAGTTAAACTTATCAGGGCTGCAACGTTCCTATTGATTATTGTCTTCATCAATCTATTAATTGTTCGGTATGTCAAACACCAGAGAAGTGAAACAATTTGCTTTAATGTGAAACAAACACAAGCAGTAAATTCTCACATTTAAGAACCTGAAACAGGATCCAAGAGAAGCGCCGCCACTGGCCAAATGTGAGCCGAACAGCCAACAGTGTCGTAATGCCCCTCCTAAAATGAACTACCCCCACACCCAGTTTGGCATCGCCCCGTTTCAAACTGTCCATTGTGCTCTTAAAATAAAATAATAATTTAAATTAGCTGTGACTGAGCACTAAACTGCTCAACCTCTTCCTTCACTTTCCTTTCGCTGTATCGCTGCCTCTGTCACAACTTCAACCTCTATCACCTCTAAAAGGTTAAACGGTTCTTTAAAAGGTTGAAAACCACACAATAAACCACACAGAGTGAATACATGTTAAACAGAGCTCCTAAAGGAGAAGTGAAACAAGTCGCTGAGTAAGAATTATTGTATTCAATAAGCAAAAATGTGAATCTTCTCGCCAGCGTTGGAAGTCAGTTTCTGCTTTTGAAGCTTCCCGTCGACTCCGGTGACGATATTCGATTTTTGATATTTGAGTTTGTGCCAGTTAATATCAGATACAAGGTCACATGTATGTACTGACAGTGTGTTTGTGACAGCTGTAACAGCTGTATGAGCGACTGGTACCAAAGTCACAGAACAATGTCAGACCTTACAGTGTTTTTGTGTATTTAGATCTGTAAATACATATCCCCATAAACTTAAGTAGCAATGACTTCATGAGCTTCTTCTATAATAAAATTATTACTATTAGAGAAAAAATTAATCACCAACTGCCATCAACAATTATCAGTGGCTCTCCAAGTTCAGGGACTTCTGTCAATGTAAACTTAGATATATATTAAGACTGTTTTTCTGCTATCGATCTTCATCAGTTAACTTCAATCATTTCTTCATCGAAGCCATCAACCTGTCTGTTGGACCCGATCCCAACTAGGCTGCTTAAAGAAGTTGTTCCCTTAATTGGCACTTCTTTACTGGATATGATTAATCTTTCTTTATTATCAGGATATGTACCACAGTCCTTTAAAGTAGCTGTAATTAAACCCCTTCTTAAAAAGTCCACTCTTGACCGAGGGGTTTTAGCCAACTATAGACCGATCTCTAACCTCCCCTTCCTCTCTAAGATTCTGGAGAAAGTAGTCGCCAAAGAGTTGTGTGACTTTCTACATAACAATAGGTTATTTGAGGATTTTTTGAGTCATGGAGTTCCACAAGGTTCTGTACTTGGACCAATACTATTTACTTTATATATGCTCCCTTTAGGCAACATTATTAGGAATCACTCCATTAACTTTCACTGTTATGCAGATGATACGCAGTTATATCTATCAATCAAGCCAAATGAAATTAATCAATTATCTAAATTACAAACATGTCTTAAGGACATAAAATCCTGGATGACCTGCAATTTTCTGATGTTAAACTCAGAAAAAAACGAAATTCTTGTTCTTGGCCCCAAAAACCTTAGAGACTCACTGTCTAAAGATATAGTTACTCTAGATGGCATTAACTTGGCCTCTAGCACCACTGTCAGGAATCTTGGAGTTATCTTTGATCAGGATTTGTCATTTAACTCCCACATAAAGCAAACCTCTAGGACTGCCTTCTTTCATTTACGTAATATTAGAAAAATTAGACACATACTATCACAGACAGATGCAGAAAAACTAATCCATGCATTTGTTACTTCAAGGCTGGATTACTGCAACTCTTTATTATCAGGTTGCCCCAATAAGTCCATTAAAACGCTCCAAGTAATTCAGAACGCTGCAGCATGAGTACTGACAGGAACTAGAAAAAGAGATCACATCTCTCTTGTACTAGCTTCTCTGCATTGGCTCCCTGTAAAATGTAGAATAGAATTTAAAATCCTCCTCCTGTGTGAGCCGAACAGCCAACAGTGTCGTAATGCCCCTCCTAAAATGAACTACCCCCACACCCAGTTTGGCATCGCCCCGCTTCAAACTGTCCATTGTGCTCTTAAAATAAAATATTTCCTCATTAAACTCCACGAGACACAGCAGGAGAGCCGAGCCGTTGGCTGACCCTGGCTGTGGTTTCTTTTCTTTACTCTTCTCATTTCTGTGTTTTTCTTCGTAAATATCAGATCAAACCAAGTAGAATTTATTTTATTTTACAGAAAATGTATCTTCTAACCTGTTAAAGGAAGAGGTGGGAAGTGTCCATTACACATCTAGGTTTATGTGATCTCCTCACTGACCGACAACAAACATTATTTCCAGGATCATTTTGATTAATTTCCAGGTGTTTCCAAGACTGGAAAACTAGTCTCTAAATTTCCAGATTTTCCAGGACACGTGGGAACCCTGAAATTTTGAGCTTGGTCAGACAGTAAAACGGGATCACGGACCGAAGAGTCGGTACAGCAAAGTGTTTTTATGATGAAGGCTTAAACACACCACTGTCTGCTGGAGGCTCTTAAATATCAGCATTATTAGTATTCGTACAGTTCGATCAATTTCAGTCAGAACAAAGTAAACAGTGGAGGTTCGATCTCGTTAACTGAGACAACACTGCCCCCTGCTGTTTGTATTTGTAATCAGAGCAGCTCCAGCAAATTGATGCTTCCTATCAACGCGAAGAGCGACGCTCGACACACGTCATGTGGCCTTCACTGCCCACCGTACGTGTCGTGACCTCAGTGAATCAGGTCGTTCAGCTCTTTCCAAACAACGTCTGTCTGTGCGTTTCCTGTAAGAAACATCTGCGTTACACATTATGAGAGATAACGACGACACATTCCCGATGTTCAGCCACCAAAAAGGAAACGTGAAGTCCCAGAGGTCGGCGGTTTGTGTGACTGAACGATGCAGGAGCCCCGAGATCCTGAATAAAATCGGAACCTTAAAACCAGATTATTTAGTTTTATGGTTGGTTGAGAATATATTTATATATTTCAACAGTTTCAGATCAACTTTCTGTCGATCAATGAATTGACTAATCGTTGCAGCTCTAAAACATATGTACCTATACATGCACATTTTAAGGAGCACAATACTCAAACTAAATGTTGATGAATTACTACAGATGTGCTAGCAGCTCGGTGAGCCAGTGCTCGGAGCTAAATACTAACATACTTACAATGACAATGCTAACATATGGATGCTAACAAGTTCAGCCTGTTAGCATGCTAACTTCTTTTAATTAGCAGCAAACACAAAGAGGAGCTGAGGCTGATGGGAAGTCGTTACCTGTGCAGGTATTTGGTCATAAACCAAAGTGTTGGCCACATTAAATGTTGATGACGGCGCTAGAGGATCAATAAAGTTATTACAATTCAAAGTGAGGGGGACACAATCCAACCAATAGATGTTGAGATATTTCAGACCTACAGAGACCGTGTGTGTGTGTGTGTGTGTGTGTGTGTGTGTGTGTGTGTGTGTGGTCACCTTGAACAGAGCAGACAGTTGTGTTCCTCCGGGGAAGCGAGGGATCTTCCAGTCGACGGCTCTGTTCTGCAGCTTCAGCTCGGCGCTCTGATCCGGACTGCTGAGCTCCTGAGACAGACTGGAACCCCCCCCCCCACACACACACACACACACACACACACACACACACAGTTCACCTGTGTTCACAATCAAACAATAAACTTGTTGTTCATCAACTACAGGTGACCCCAGAGGGGGTCAGAGGTCAGATGCTGTTACAGAGGCAGGGAGGCTTTCAGAGGTGATTTGATAGATAATCCCACTGAGAGCTTTAGATGATGTAACTGACCCACGACCGACCTGAACAATGAGCTACAGGAGGGTGCGTTCATGTGCATCACAGCTGGATACGTGCAGCAGCCGGTTCGTTGAATATAACCGCAGTCACCGGTTTCTGGAGATCTTGACTCTGGTCGTCCTGGATCGAGGTTTTTAATCTAAGACGCATCCTGATGGAAGATTCTGCATCGATGCAGCGACGGGAGTTACACACCATCACAGCCTGCTAACGCTGATTGTCCGGCCTCGTCTGGACAATAAAGTTTAAGGACCTTTCCAGGACACTTTCCAGAGGTTTACAGGACAGCACTTCCTCTCTATTGTGGTCGGCATTTATGGTAACGGTCACAAATGTGTATAAAAAGTTCCCTAAAAAGGAAATAATCTGCTCAAATCTCTGGTTTTACACAAACTTGCTGAGTTCATTGTTCAGTTTTGAATATAATATGAAATATCTCTAATATATGTGACTGAGTCAGTTTATTAATGATAGAAAAATGGTCCTAAAGGTAAAACTCTCCTTAATGAGGCCTAAAAAATTGTTTTACTGCTGTTTGATTTATTACTGTAAAAAAAGAGTTGTTCTTAATGTCTTACCTGGTAAAATAAAATTAATTAAAAGGTAAATAATAAAATAAAAGGTCAAATAAAAGGTCATATTCTGTATTTGACCAACTGAACCGATCCTCTGGTGGAAGAAAGGTTCAAACTGAGAGAAATAGATGGTGTTTAAATGTAGTTGAACTCTCACTGAGCTATACACAGCTTACATTTCCATAACTTTAAATAACAAATCAGGATCGCTTCCTTCTGCTCATCTGTGATGCTTCCTACTTTGTTAATGTTGTTTTATATTTAAAAACCAAACTAACAGCGGACGCAGCTTTTAACCTTTGATTTCGGACGAGGAACTCTCGTAACTTCCTCTGAACGAGTCATATTCAAATAAAAAAACTAAACAGAGTCGTCCTGCGAGCCTCTTTACATACCGACTGATTTCAATAGCAAACATTCGTTTCAGGAGAGCAGCTGCATTTGAATGGGAGTGTCTCACCTCACAGAGCCTTTGGGGACGGGGATGGTGGCGCAGACGTTGATGGCAGCGCTGCAAGAACAAAACAATCTTCATCATCCTCATCATCAGCATCAACTGATCATCAGTATGTTCGTTAACACGGTGTCAATAACACTGCGACATACAGCACAAAAGCTACAAAAAGGTGATCAATAGTTGAGGGTTTCAACCCAAACTGACCTCTTTGGTGGCAGATCACAGCGGAGCTTCAGGTACATCAGCAGCCTGCAGAGCAAGAACTGTGAGCAGAAGGTTTTGACCTCTGACCTCTTATACTCTCTCTAATATTTCATATAACAGACTAAAGCCCTATTCGCACGGGATAAGCGAAGTCTGTGTTTTAACTTGAATTTACTGACATTATCCCCCGGATATGATGTCAAGGCTCTGCGTAACCGATGTGTAACAGTCTGTTACTGATCTGACGTTACCTTTGCTGGTACCGTCGGGCCCGCAGAGCACCGTGCACTCCTCTATGCTGCAGAACGGCTCGAACATCTTTCTCATATCAGTGTCCGTCTGCTGTTTTCCCAGCATGCCCACAAACATCGAAATGCTGTCAAAACTTTCATTTATAAATGCCAACGCAGCCTCCATAATTCTCGACCGGGAAAAAGGCAGAAAAAAGGCACGGAAAACAGAGATGCCGATTCGCACGGGACTAATATTATTACATGACCTCTGTGCTGGGCGAAATATGGTAGGTCATTTGCGGTGGAATTTTTACTTTACAAATTACGGACATGGCAGATTCGCGCAGGATTAAGATCACAGACAACCTCCGTAGTTTTTACAAGTTACTAGAGGTCCCCAGGTAATACTAGTCCCGTGCGAATACACCTCTCATGAGTTCACACTACATGCATTCACACAGTGATAGTAAAGGTTCATCACAAAGGAAGAAAAGAAACTAACACAGCATCTGGAGCCATTTGGGGTTCAGTATGTTGCTCAGGGGCACTCTGGGAGGAGCCGGGGATCAAACTGCCAACCTTGTGATTGGTGGACGACCTGCTCTACCTCCTGAGCCACTCCACGAGCCCGATCACACAGAGACACACCGCTACTGCACGCACAACCACGAAAATATTCTCCCAGGAAAAAAGTCCTCGTGTTAAATAATGTTTCTTCTTTAAAAAATAAACGTCAAACTTCAGGTGGTAAAATAGTAAAGCCCGCCTCTTGCTTGATTTGATTGGCTGTCTGGGCCGACTGTGACATTGATGAGTGCCGGCCCCTAAGGATTCACATTTATCTCTTTAAGCCACAATCAGAGTGACGACACACAGACAATATATTTATAATAATTACATTTTATAAAACACACACACACACACACACACACACACACACACACACACACACACACACACACACACACACACACACACACACACACACACACACACACACACACACACGGGGGAGATAGAGAGAGAGAGTCTATACTGCAGTCAGCCACCGGGGGAGATAGAGAGTTAACATGTCGTCCTATCATCTAAACTAGTTAATCAGATATTTTAGTAACTGATTTTGTTACAAACTGCCTCTGAGGCTCTAACGTCGACTGTACAGTAACTGAGGAGAGAACGTACAGAGAGCCGTTGTACTTCCTCTGTGTTTGTCCGGTTAGAACAACAATAAAAACCAACAACAGTTTCCAGAGTGGAGATAAGTTAGGTGGACTGAGGGACTCTAACCTTCCTCCGCTGTCTCTCTCGATGGTTGGGAAGAGGCGGAAAGGAGGCGCTGAAGGCAGATCATCACTCAGCTGGTACTGCATCACCGTTTGCTGCAGCAGGAGGAAGAGCAGGAGAGAGATGAAGAGGATGCTGCGGACGCCCCGAAGGCACACAAACCATACAGGAGCGGGTCGATATTATCGGCTGATATCAGCTCATTGACCTGAACCATGACCGAAGCACAAACACGACAAACTGAGAAAGGGAAACCTTCCTCTGTGCACACAAAGAACAAAACATGGACCGCGTGAGTCTCAGATGTCGGACTGTCTGTGAACACAACGAGGAGAGTTTTCAGTCTCATTTTCACACAAATAAAATACAACAAATGTCCAACAAGAAGAAAGATAATCAGTCTATTAAGTGATCTTACTGCTCCTTTAAGGCAGGAATCTGAGAAAGAGGCTCAGTGAGACATTTAAGTTCAGCAGCAACAAAACAAAGTATTTAGTTCTATGAGCCGTTTACTGTTGAGCAGTTTGTTCTGTTAATTAGGGACACCTAGGTAAATCCTGTAATCCAGGTTATAGTTCAGATTTGTTGATTTCTTTTATGATAATTAAGAAAACTTAAGATGTGACTATATAGATATATATGTCTCTATCCTTTTAACGCTCTACTGCATTTTGTAGAACTTTTGTTTCCACTATTCTTTGTGTGGTTTGTGTTCTGCCGCTCTAACGTGCCAACGTCCAATTGGAGATAAATAATCTATATCTATCTATATATCTATCACCTCTCCCTGGCTGGGACAGAGTCGGAGGATCCGGTGGCTGTCGAACTCATCCAGTCGGACCGCCTGGTGGAAGCTGCACTCATCGACACGAACAGCGGCCCCGTAACCTGAATACAAAAAATACTGCGGATCAGAGACACCATGAAAACCCCATAAAACCTCCGCCTGCACTGACTAATGAGAAATATTTCACCCCAGTTAAAGTCAGATTTTAGTGTTTGATCACCACCTGCCAACAAAAACACAAAGTATTTAAAAATAAATCTGTTATAAAACCACCGTCAGGTTCGTGAATGAACGTGTACGTGCAGGTTTCAGAGAGCCAAGTGTAACAAGACTTTTTAATTCACCCTGAAATAAGGTCATAAATAAATACAGACACATTTCTCGCCGATTTGACAGCTGCTGTGAAAAACAACAGGAGGAAATTAAATGTTGGAGGAAATGAAGTCCATCTGTTTTTAATAAAAACATCTTCTGTCTGTCAAACTGCTCCAGTGTTTATCCACAGACAGACCTGACGACACAAATCAGTGTTTGTTTTACTTTCTAACTCTGGTTTCATTAATGCGTTTGGATTCAAATCAAACTGGGTCACAGGTTTAAGTTCCCTTTGTAACTCACTCGAAGAGCCCGGGTGGGTTTAAGGTGCTGACGGGGAACTGCACCGCTTCCAGTTCAGCTGGGGACTCTTTATTTTCATGTCTGCTCATTTACATGATCCACCCCTCGTGGAAATATTCATATGCATTAATCAGCCCCAACATACACAAATATGAATAACCCACATATAATGTCCCAGGAGATCTGCAACAATGGAAATTAAATGAATATATTCGCAGTCTCACAAGTATCCAGAGCGCTTTAGAGGCTGCTGTTGTTGAATGTTGAGATTAGCTTTTAGCTTATTTATTCACCTATTTGTGCAACAAAGACATAAAAAAAACCAAAGATAAGTAACTCAGAGGTGAACAGCCGCTCGCTGTCCGTGCTGCTGCGTGGAGCACGCCGCTGTTTGTGCTGGAAAACTGAGCTGATTATTTCTCCAGTGTTTGAGTTTGACAGCCAACATTTAGTCAGAGCAAAACTGATGTAAGATAACAGATAAACACTGATATCAGTCAACAAGGCCGATACCAGGGCTGCACGATACGGTAAAAACTATTTATGTTATTATGTTTTCACTGAAAAACTATTAAAATTATGATAATGTAACATTTTGTTAAGAAAACAAACATGTTATATATAATAATGCTGTTTGTCACATTTTACCTTCATCAGAAAACAAAAAGCTTCTGTGATTTCATTTTCGAGTGTGTGTGTGTGTGTGTGTGAGAGTATGTGTGTGAGTGTGTGTGTGTGTGTGTGTGTGTGTGTGTGTGAGAGTTTGTGTGTGTGTGTGTGTGTGTGTGTGTGTGTGTGTGTGTGTGTGTGTGTGTGTGTGAGAATGAGTGAGTGAGTGAGTGTGTGTGTGTGTGTGTGTGTGTGTGTGTGTGTGTGTGTGTGTGTGTGTGTGTGAGAATGAGTGAGTGAGTGAGTATGTGTGTGTGTGTGTGTGTGTGTGTGTGTGTGTGTGTGTGTGTGTGTGTGTGTGTGTGTTACCTCTGAGCTGTGACTTTCCAATGCTGAATTCTTCGTTCAGACCGATTCTCATTTCTGTTGAAGGACAGCGTGTTAGATTGTGGACATTATGAATCATCAGAGGCTGGTGTAGAGTCACAGGACTGTGTATCAGTGGTTCTCAACCTGCAGTCCGGGGATGGTTGTGCAACAGCAGCGACAATAACAACCTGCAGCATTAACCCCTTTATGTTCAAACTCACCTGAGCAGCTCGGCATGTAGCACTTGACTCTGATCTCTCCCTCGACGTCGGCCTTCATCAGAACTCCCTGCAGCACAAACCATCACCCAGCAGACAGAAACCAGGTTTAAGCACCAGAACAGGATCTGACAGCTGATACTGATCAGAGTCTGCAGCTGAAACTCCACACTCATAATAACAACACTGAAGACATGGTAACACTGCTGAGGAGTGTTAGATGTTACAGACAGATTGTTACTCACGTTGGTGCCGATGACGACCGACATCCTCTCGATCACGTCCACAAATATCTCGCTCTTCCCTCCCTGGAAAAACACATACGTGGAAACTGAGAGGTCTGTTTCAGGAAGTCGAGCTGGGCCCAGACTATTTACTGGAAGTTACTGTTAAAACTCCCAGCCCGGTAAAAAAAACAACTCGAACGCCCAATCCTGGACGAACTGATGGAAGTTCATTAATACTTAAACAAACATTCAGACGACGTGAGTTTGATCCATGTGAAACTTTGTCGAATTCAAATGTTTGCTTTGGGTTCTTCATCCTGTTCTTGTTTTCTTGATAGTGCGACTTAACCGTTAGTTGTTAAGAAGAGTCTTAGTCAACCCACTTTCAGACAGTCACAGGAAAACAAAAACAACCTTTTCTCTTGTAACACAGAAAGTATCTGACCGCTGTACTGCTGCATATGCTAACTGTACTAGCTGCTATTAGCTAGTTAGTGGTCCTATTAGCTGTCAGGGGGAGTTCCTAGCGTAGGACCCAGCAGGGAATACTGTTAACAAGCGGGAAAGAAATGAGCCACAGAACCGGAGCAGGGCGGACGGACGGAGGCCGGCTGATGTCCAGTGGCTCCGACCAGGACTCTGACTCTGGGGATGAAGACCCAGCGGGTTCAGGCAGGTAGTTCCAGGCCTTAAACTGCTCCTGTCTCTGGTTTGTTCATGTTTACGTGTGTTTTCTAAAAGATAAAAATTATACTAAAATGACCAAAAAGTCCCAGAAATTCACGACTTCCTCACAGACTTTATCAACTTCCCTGTCTGAAAACTGCCAACATGTTCCAGGACTGTCGTGACCAGTGGGAACTCTTTTGTTCTGTTATTTAAAAACTGAAGGGAACTGGAGAATAAAAAGTTATAGTGGGTATTTAGGGTGTCAGAGGGTCTTCGTGTTCTTCGTCAGGACTGGAGGTGTGACGTTGTGTACCTGCTCTCTGCTGGACTGGATGGGCCTGGTGGCTGCAGAGCTCGGAGCCACTTTACTCTGTTGTGTCTCTGCTCCAAACTGCAGGAAAACAACAACAAAACAACATTAATATATCAGTAAACATTATATTCTCTATATACAGTCACATGGTGTCTCTCTCCCTCTGCCTGTGTTGTATCGCAGCCTCTCTGTGGTTTGTTTACTGTCAGTGGAACAAACAACAACTACTGTTAGTGGAACAAACAACAACTACTGTTAGTGGAACAAACAACTACTGTTAGTGGAACAAACAACAACTACTGTTAGTGGAACAAACAACAACAACTACTGTTAGTGGGACAAACAACAACAACTACTGTTAGTGGGACAAACAACAACTACTGTTAGTGGAACAAACAACAACTACTGTTAGTGGAACAAACAACAACAACTACTGTTAGTGGAACAAACAACAACAACTACTGTTAGTGGAACAAACAACAACAACTACTGTTAGTGGAACAAACAACAACCAACAACTACTGTTAGTGGAACAAACAACAACTACTGTTAGTGGAACAAACAACAACTACTGTTAGTGGAACAAACAACAACAACTACTGTTAGTGGAACAAACAACAACAACTACTGTTAGTGGAACAAACAACAACTACTGTTAGTGGAACAAACAACAACAACTACTGTTAGTGGAACAAACAACAACAACTACTGTTAGTGGAACAAACAACAACCAACAACTACTGTTAGTGGGACAAACAACAACAACTACTGTTAGTGGAACAAACAACAACCAACAACACTGTTAGTGGGACAAACAACAACTACTGTCAGTGGAACAAACAACAACTACTGTCAGTGGAACAAACAACAACTACTGTTAGTGGAACAAACAACAACTACTGTTAGTGGAACAAACAACAACTACTGTTAGTGGAACAAACAACAACAACTACTGTTAGTGGAACAAACAACAACTACTGTTAGTGGAACAAACAACAACTACTGTTAGTGGAACAAACAACAACAACTACTGTTAGTGGAACAAACAACAACCAACAACTACTGTTAGTGGAACAAACAACAACTACTGTTAGTGGAACAAACAACAACTACTGTCAGTGGAACAAACAACAACTACTGTTAGTGGAACAAACAACAACAACTACTGTTAGTGGAACAAACAACAACCAACAACTACTGTTAGTGGAACAAACAACAACCAACAACTACTGTTAGTGGGACAAACAACAACAACTACTGTTAGTGGAACAAACAACAACCAACAACTACTGTTAGTGGGACAAACAACAACTACTGTTAGTGGAACAAACAACAACAACTACTGTTAGTGGAACAAACAACAACTACTGTCAGTGGAACAAACAACAACTACTGTTAGTGGAACAAACAACAACTACTGTTAGTGGAACAAACAACAACAACTACTGTTAGTGGAACAAACAACAACTACTGTTAGTGGAACAAACAACAACTACTGTTAGTGGAACAAACAACAACAACTACTGTTAGTGGAACAAACAACAACTACTGTTAGTGGAACAAACAACTACTGTTAGTGGAACAAACAACAACTACTGTTAGTGGAACAAACAACAACAACTACTGTTAGTGGAACAAACAACAACCAACAACTACTGTTAGTGGAACAAACAACAACTACTGTTAGTGGAACAAACAACAACTACTGTCAGTGGAACAAACAACAACTACTGTTAGTGGAACAAACAACAACTACTGTTAGTGGAACAAACAACAACCAACAACTACTGTTAGTGGAACAAACAACAACTACTGTTAGTGGGACAAACAACAACAACTACTGTTAGTGGAACAAACAACAACCAACAACTACTGTTAGTGGGACAAACAACAACTACTGTTAGTGGAACAAACAACAACAACTACTGTTAGTGGAACAAACAACAACCAACAACTACTGTCAGTGGAACAAACAACAACTACTGTTAGTGGAACAAACAACAACTACTGTTAGTGGAACAAACAACAACAACTACTGTTAGTGGAACAAACAACAACTACTGTTAGTGGAACAAACAACAACAACTGTTAGTGGAACAAACAACAACTACTGTTAGTGGAACAAACAACAACAACTACTGTTAGTGGATGTAGGTTTATTATAACACACTATATTGTAGCTGCAGACACATGGACAACCTCTGGTGGAGGCTCTCAGGATACTGAAGGATAATATAGTGAAACACAGTTGTAATCATATAAAATATGTTTTCATAGGAGACTTCATGATTGTTGACAAACACTGAACATTAATGAGCACATTAATAATCCTAATAGCTGCAGACAAATACTTATAAAGCTAAATAAGAAAAGTTAAATGTTGTTTATGGAGTCGATGCTGTCGGTTGACACTGAAACTGGAATTTTTCTTTTTATAAAAAAAATCTGAAAAAACTTATTCCAGGTTTGTTTTTACAAACTGTTGCCCTTCCCCTGTCCTGTCTCACACCTCAGTGACCTCTGACCTCTGACTAACAGGTGCTGTTGACGTACCAAACCGACGTTACTGAGGTCAAACAGGCTGAACGGTCTGGAGGAGACCGCCTCGGTCTGGATGAAGTTCTTCAGAACGTCAGAGGACGTCGTCTGGATGTAACCGTAGTCCTGAGAGACAGACAGACAGACAGACAGACAGTTCTTTCCTCTTTCATGGTATTTAACGTTACGCTGTAGCTGTTAGAGATTCCTCTGTCTGAGGTTTTCTTGTTGCTTTGTTAAATATAGTTTTGAGATTTAAGCTGTTTCTTTATTTCAGTTTCTTTTTTTTGCATTTATAAAGTTACATAACGTTATTTACCAAATTATTATTATTATTATTATTATTATTATTATTATTTACCATCCTGTTACCTGCCAAAAACTGTGTTACATTTATCAGAGTCTCTCATTAGCTTCAATATAGAAACACAGTAGTTATGGACGGGGAAATGAGCTTTAAAGACTGTAAACATGTTTATTTCTGCTGTAATAAACATTTTAATATGAGACTAACTGTGATGCTCAATGGGATGTAAAGACGAGGGCTCCTGATAACTGATATATTGATCGATGGTGATCGATTGGGACTCACCACGACCTCGTCCAGCAGCTCGTAGATGAGGGCAAAGTTCATCTGCACCGACTTCTCCGACAGACTGCCGCAGTAATCTTTAACCAGAGCTGTAAACCTGAGGACAGACAGACAGGCAGACAGAGAGACAGACAGACAGACAGACAGACAGACAGACAGACAGGCAGACAGACAGACAGACAGACAGACAGACAGGCATTTAAACTGATTATCAAATAGTTTATTTGATCTGAGTTTCAGTAACGTGGTAAATATCGTGATTAGAGACTCACTCAGATAAAACCGACGTACCTGTTGAGGAACTCGATGATGGTGAAGGGGGAGGAGTCAGCCGTTGTCGTGGCGACCCAGTACAGCCCTCCCTGCCGGACGTGGACGAAGTGAAGATCTTTGTGACTCTGCAGAACAAAACGCAGGATTATTGATGATTATATTGTTTTATTGATCCAGGTCTCTGATTGGATGGTTCCTAAATCTCTTCTTAAAACTTCTGGAAATATCTGATGTGTTTTTATTCCTATTTATTTGTTGTTGTTATTATATGTTGTATGTGCTTATTAAATATGTATTGGCTTAAATATCATGACCAATAATTTGTCTAAATTTGATGTCTTATTACATTAAATCTGTATTTCTTATTGATTCATGTGTAAAAAGTTGAAACTGTAGTAATTATGAATGAATGAATTTAAATATTAATTTGTTTGTTTTTCCTTTTGTCACTTTCAGGCTTTCAAGCTGGTTTTTTTGTCTCTTTGTTTTGCAGTTTATTCTACCGACAGTCGAGTTTCAAAATTAATATTCATTTTTAAAATTTTCCAGGACGACAGAGATTATTTCCAGGATATTTGGTCATTTTAATCAATTTCCAGGTGTTTCCATGCCTGGAAAACTGGTCTCTAAATGTCCAGGTTTTCCAGGACGTGTGACTAACGATTGGTTATCGTCTAATAATCGGAATCTGTATCAGACCTGACAGTGTATGTTGGATAAAGGATTGCCTCTGAATTAAATACTGTCCCTTTAAAATGTCCTAAAACACACACACACACACACACACACACACACACACACACACAGAGAGAGATGGGGTTACCATGACAACCGGAGGCTGGTCTCCGGTCAGCGCTGTGACCTTCTCGTAGAAAATACCGACGACGTCACTTCCTGCTTCTCCGCGGACTGATGGCGACGTTAAGAGCAAAACAAACACCAGACAGAAAATCACATTCACCTCATATATTCTTATGAAATAAGAATTATAAATATATATAAAAATATATACAATTACAAAGAGAATAGAAATAAAAACAGAAACTATATAACTAATATAAGAGTGTACAGCACAACAATATATAATATAAAGTGTTTTAATGTACAGATATAATAGAGTTCCTGAATGATAACATTAATATAAAATATAGAATATAAGGTGAAATGTAATGTAAAAGCTAATAGATATTAAATGTATTTGGTGTGAGGGAGGATACAGTCTTTATAGATGAGGTGGTCCCCCTTTGAGGACAAGATGAAGACCTGAGAGATCATCCTGCTGAGAGACAGACAGACAGACAGACAGACAGATTTATGAAAATGGAGATTTATCCTTTAAGAGAAGGAAGGATCCGGACTGTTGTAGCTGTAGTACAGTAGCTCCCCCTGCCGGTGATAAATGAGTCAGTGGCATATTATTTGTATTGAATTATTTTTTAATATCGATAATACGCAGCTTCACTGTGGATGACTTGTCTCTGAAACTGAACCCAAATCTGCCAACAACCTCGACATTATCTCTTTTAAAAAAAATCTCCAACCAAACTCCACTCACTTTTCTACCAATTTTAGTTGTCTATGTATGTAACGTTAAACTCTCCACCCTGGTGTAACACAGACACTGTAAACCTCTATATGTGATCCACTCCGCAGTTTGCTGGTGATTCAGTTCAGCTTTCACTACAAATGTTCATTCAGAGACGAAAACCCTGAACCGAAACCGACATTAAATGTAAATAAATGAGTAACAGCTGAGTAAAGTCTGATTCATTTAATGCCGAATTTATCACAAGTTACAGTCCACTCGTAAAAAATCTTGAAAATGTGTTTGACATGCACACTGGGTTAGAAAACGAGTAGAATAAGTTAAATTTACTGAGATTATAACGGAGTTCATCTGAGAACTGCGAGCCTGCAGAACTTAGCCTCTGAGTATCCGGTTACTGTTTACTTACCCGCTGAAGACTTGAAACAAAGATAAAGCTGTGACAATAATATATTGAACTAATAATTAAACTATCTGTTATTTAGCCATGATTACTAACAGCTTTAATGTCAGTTATTAGCTGCCCGGTCCTCCACTGACCGCCCGGCTGCTGTTTACAAACCGGGTCAGCAGATGACGGATCTCCTCACAGCGCCCCCTGCTGTCCGGGAGGCGGAATAACATCTTTTTACAGAATTAACTCAAATAATAAATTATAAATTTAAGATATCGAGCTAAAATTAATATAAATGCATTTCTGTCCTATACAGTTTTAAAAACCACCTGAACAATAATTGTTTTTGTTATTTAGTCACAGAAACGCAGCTTGTAGTGACGTCATCCGAACAGCAGGCGGCAGCAGAGGCGGGAATCCAATGCGGAAGTGGCTCATACCAGGAAGTCTTTCAGCAACACAACGTCGGTTTCACCATGAAGTAAGTTCAAACATTAAAACATTTATCTGCGTTTAAATCTTCTTTTCGACCTGAAGTCGTACTGTCATGGCACCAGCTAGCCAATGCTAACAGCTAATAACATTACTGGAACCTCATCTCAGCTAACTGTCCACACAGAGTTGCTCCGAACCCTTGTTGAAAATCTCACAATTTAACCATTTCTCTGTTAATCGGCTTGTAAACGCAAATAATTCAACAGCACCTCACTTTGTAACAAACTATTAGAGGCAGTGTTTGGATTCGGCACTAACCAAACAGTTCGTATTTCTATTAAATGAAAGTTTTCCGGTGTGTTTTTGCGGCTCCTGTTATGGCGGTACACGGAGGTTTGGTGAAGAATAATTGATTTTATTTCTATTACTTTCTATTATTCGAGGTCGGTTGATGGGCCGATTTCTAGAATGGACCCTAACTATACACAACATGTATTTATTTACCCCTCACATGTGTACTTTTCCCGTTACGGGGGAAACATTAAATGGGACTAATTTTGAATGGAGTCTGGCGTGAATGTTTGTCCGTACACAGAACAGCGTTAGCGTCCCATATCTTGCATTGTTGTGTGTTTAGAGAGCAATGTGGGGATTAAAAGTAGCTATTACCCTCTTATATCACATATAAACGCACTTATATACAATATATTGTGTTTATAACGTAGATTTTCTTTCAGAAAGTAAATAAAATCTTAAATAGAAATTCTTTTTCTATTGCTGTTTTTGAACCTTTTAAGTTGAATTGTTTTGCTGTTGTGTGTTTGTTTCCATTGTAAGATACTTTGTTTGTTCCATATGTAGAATCATTTCTCAGTTAATGAGTTTTATATGTAACTTGCTTTCTACTTTCCTGTTTTATTGATTATTGATGTGATTTTAAATGTGTTTTTATTGTTACTGTCTTTGTGTGGAGTCCCACTTTAATGGAAGCTCCAGTATTAAAGAATAAAGAACTAATGGTGTGTTCAGGTGCTGCTCGTCCATTTGAATATTCCAGAGAGCGTCACCAGGCTCCAGATAAAGGAGGAGTTCCCTGAGACTGCAGTCTGTAACGTGACATCTCTCTCGTCTGTTTTCAGTCCGCTAACGAAGGTGAAGTTGATCAACGAGCTGAACGCGCGCGAGGCCGACCTCGGGGTGAACGAGTCCGTCTCCTGGCACACCGAGTACAAAGACAGCGCCTGGATATTCATCGGTAAGAGAGTCTGGTTCGGGCTGGGAGGGTTGATAGACGATGAACTTCTGTCTCATCAGCTGCTGCTTCTGTTCCCTGCAGGAGGATTTCCATACGAGCTGACCGAAGGTGACATCATCTGCGTCTTCTCTCAGTACGTCTCCTGACACACACACACACACACACACACACACACACACACACAGCCGAGGTCAGAGAACACGAGAACTCACTTCCCTTTCCTCCCATAAACCTCGTCAGGTACGGAGAGATCGTCAACATCAACCTGGTTCGGGACAAGAAGACGGGGAAGTCCAAAGGTTTCTGCTTCATCTGCTACGAGGACCAGAGGAGCACCGTCCTCGCTGTGGACAACTTCAACGGCATCAAGGTGAAGCCTCGTTCACACCGCGAGACTTCCTGTCTCTAATCTGGAGTACTAACTGAATGAATACACAGATTATTGAAGCATTAATCAACCTGATCAGCCTTCAGCAGTCAGCTAGTGTTTCTGTAGTGGAGACTAAACGTTAACAATGATCCATATCAGCAGTTTGAATCCAACTAAAAGCTCCCTGCACCAAACTCCCTTTAAGAAATATCACATTTTAACAATTCCTAACGTGTTCGTAACAACACGTAACTCTAGAAACACGAGCTAAAGGCCGTCATATGTCCACAGTCTGTCTGTCAGGAGGTCACGGAGGGGCAGACAGGAAGTGTCTCACTGACTGAAGCTGAGTCTGTGTTGTGTTTGCTGTCAGATTAAAGGTCGGACGATCCGCGTGGATCACGTTAAAGACTACCGTCCTCCCAAAGACACAGAGGACATCGACGATGTGACCAAACATCTGAGGGACGAAGGCTGCGCTCCCAAAGTCCACGAGTCCTCCTCCTCCTCCTCAGAGGAAGAGGAGCAGTACGCCGTCCCAGTGAAGAAACCCAAAAAAGGTGAGATCACTGTCTGACTGTTGCGTATTATTTGGCTGTATTTAATATAAATAAATAAGAAGGCTTTATGTTTTGTCTCTCCGGGCTTCCGTTTATTTCTCCTCTCGCTCTGTCACAGACAAGAAAGAGAAGAAAAAGAAGAAGAAAGAGAAAAAGGAGAAGAAGGAAAAGAAGAAGGCCGAGAAGGAGAAAGAGAGGGGGAGTCGGGCGCCGCACTCCTCCTCCTCCTCACCGCCTCTTCCTCCTCCTGTCGTCAGAGTCAAAGAGGAGAGAGAGGACGCCGCCTACGACAAGTACAACCAGAGGGGGGCGCCGCCGGGAGGACAGCAGAACGGACAGAGAGCGAGGGAGGACGAGAGGCTCCGGGGGGAGGAGGAGAGGAGGAGAGAGACAGACAGGGAGAGAGGGGAAGACAGGAGGAGGAATCGTGAGAGAGAGGGCGACAGGAGGAGAGAGACAGACAGAGATTATGAGAGAAAAAGAGAGACAGACAGGGAGAGAGAGAGAGACAGTGATAGGAGGAGGGAGACAGACAGGGACAGAGAGAGAGACAGCGATAGGAGGAGGGAGACAGACAGGGACAGAGAGAGAGACAGCGATAGGAGGAAGGAGACAGACAGGGACAGAGAGAGAGACAGCGATAGGAGGAGGGAGACAGACAGGGACAGAGAGAGAGACAGACAGGGACAGAGAGAGAGACAGTGATAGGAGGAGAGAGACAGACAGGGACAGAGAGAGACAGACAGACTGATAGCGAGGAGGAGGGAGACAGACAGGGACAGAGAGAGAGACAGCGTTAGGAGGAGAGAGACAGACAGGGACAGGAGGAGAGAGACAGACAGGGACAGAGAGAGAGACGGGGTTAGGAGGAGAGAGATAGACAGGGACAGAGAGAGAGACAGTGATAGGAGGAGGGAGACAGACAGGGACAGAGAGAGAGACAGTGATAGGAGGAGGGAGACAGACAGGGACAGAGAGAGAGACAGCGATAGGAGGAGGGAGACAGACAGGGACAGAGAGAGAGACAGCGATAGGAGGAGAGAGACAGACAGGGACAGAGAGAGAGACAGTGATAGGAGGAGAGAGACAGACAGGGACAGAGAGAGAGACAGTGATAGGAGGAGAGAGACAGACAGGGACAGAGAGGGAGACAGTGACAGGAGGAGAGAGAGAGACAGGGATAGAGAGGGAGAGAGACAGGACAGAGGAGAGACAGTGATAGGAGGAGAGAGACAGACAGGGACAGAGAGAGAGACAGTGATAGGAGAGACCACCTGCAGTAAACTGATGTTTATATTAATGGACCCTTCCTAAGCCCCGCCCCCTTTTTGCTCTGTGCTCCAATCACAGTTGAGCTAGCTTCGGTCAGCTTCCTCCTCTCCTGCACTTAGACATGCTAAATGCTAAGCTAATCTATGTTGACAACACAACCATATTAGTTAGCTAATGTTAGCCCAACACTAGCTAACTAATGTACATCAGTCGAGTATAAATATAAAATCTTTTATCTTTTAACGATCTTCAAAGTTTCCACCGGGATTAGCCTAGCACGTAGGATTGCTCAACTGTGATTGGAGCACAGAGCAGAAAGGGGGCGGGGCTTATGAAGGCTGCAGTGTTCATTACCCAGCAGGCTGAGGTGGTGGCCGCAGTGAAACGGCGACGTCCCCGGTTTCCATGGCGACGTCCCGAAACGTTAATGTTTGTATTGTTGAAATTAGTTTTGTAATAAAACACAAATGTCTTCAGCTGTGAGACACGATGAACTCATTCAGTGATAAACCCAAATAAATACTGAACTCCAGAATCTATTGATTATTGATCAGTAACAGTGTATGTAGACAGCAGTTTTGTGTCCAGTTGTTGGATCCAATGGACTCACACAGAGAAACAAACTGCACCCATTTATTATGGAAACGTCACAGAACCGAGCAGAACACAGAACAAAGGTCCGATCACAGTTCGATGATGTAACTTCAGAACAGTAAATACTGTATTTTACAGGTTATTTTCCCTCTGTGTGGTGGACTACACTTCCCATGAGCCTCAGCTGCTGTTGCTATGGAGATATTGGTTACTTAATGTCAAATGGATCCAAACTGCTGAATATTTGATCAGATTTGTACTTTTTAGGCTCAAACTCGCCGTCTGCAGCACATTTAACAGAATGTGAAGCTCTGATTGGATGTTTGTTAGTGAGATGCACCCTGGGAGTCGTAGTTGTCCTTCAGTTATTACGTTCTCAGAAGCAGATATTTTCTAACAGTGGCTCATTTTTGTACTGAGAGATTTCATCCAGGACCTCTTGTGAATAAAAAGTGAAGAGTAGTTTGTTTCCTTCCCATCAGTACAGATGTTTGAGGTGTGACAAACTACAGCAGCAGAACCGGAGAATTCACAACAAATGTCAGAAAACAGCTTTAAAAAAAAAATTACTTTCAAAACCTCTGTACAGCCGAACAAACGCCAACACAAATACAAGTCAAAGTGAGCACGAGGAATAAACGCAGCAGTCTGTAGTTTTTAGAAAATATATAGTCATTATAACTTCATTTACAATATTTTCAAACATTTCATAGAAAGTCGGCGGGTTGTAAAGTGGAAGTGATTATCAGAGAGCGGCGTTTCCTCTGTGTTATTAATAACCTTTATACTGTAACATCAGAAAACAACCAGATTAAAACACCCTGAACGTCAAAATAAAGCATTTAGGATCATTATGGATCTTATTTTAATTAATGCTGCTTTAAAGGTTTCTGATGCAGCAAAAAATTCCTTATTTGACCACCGACAACAGTAAAATCAATAATATTATCAATAACATTATCAATAATGTTATCAATAACATTATCAATAATGTTATCTATAAAGACACTAGTTAATCAGGTTTTTCATTTTTGTCACAGTAAACTTGTAAAAGTAGTTTCATTAATATTCAGTTGTCTGTAGCTTGTTAACGATTCGTTAATTAATTAGAAAATAAATGCTAATGTGTTCTAGCCAAGAGGTTAATTAGCTAGCTAGCAATAGACAACAAATTGGGGATTGACACGCGAGAGAAAATTAGTTAGTTTGGTTGTTCATGTTAGCTCAACTTCAACTAGCTTACGTTAGTATAACTTCCCCCTGTTGTAGACAAAAGTTTTGTTTCCAATTGTCAGAAAAATCAAAGAAATAATTATTAATCCGTTCCACACGAGCAGTTAGCTCGTTAGCAAACGTGTAAATAAAGTTACTTATGAACTTATACGACTTTCAACCTTTAGTTTCTTGTATTGTTGGTTAAATGGATCTGATTTATTAACATTTAAACATCGTGTCCGTCGGAGGTGGAGGCGGTTTTATTCTCCGTAAACAAACACGGAGGAAACGCCGCGGAGGTCTGAGGGTTTACGGTTCAGTTACAGACGAGTGTGGTCAGAGGTATCTAGTGAAGTTGGTTTCTTCCTGGTCAGTTGCTACAAAGGTTTTAGAGACAAGGAATGTTGGGAAATCTTTTTTTTTTTTTACCCACAATGCCACATGAGCTTTCAAAAGGTAATAATAATGTCACTGAAAGCAGTTTTTTTAAAATACATTTTTCTTACATCAGTTCTGCAAAACAGTCTCGGTTGTGTTTCCCTGGGCAGTTTTCATCGACGTCAGGTGAATCACATCAGCACCAACGGGAAGAAGAGGAGGTTGGCGGTAGAAAAGTAAGGCGCTGGCGGCTAAACAGACTGCAGGAAGAGGGATGGGAGGATTATTCCTCCATTTCACTGCTTTTATCTGAGATTAAAGAAAGTCTGAGGATTAACTGGATTCCAACGCTCAGCCAGTTCCCGCGGAGGTCGAACGCCGACCTCCGACGCGCGAGAGACGAGCCCGCAGTGGACCGAAGTGCACAGTCGCAGTCGGCCTTCTCAGACCGCTGCTGGGATTTGAACCGGCGACCTTCCACTCAGCCCCACTGCTGAGTCGTGTTCACATTATTCTGCTTCACTTTAACTGCCAGCAGCGTTTAAAGCAGCGCGGTCGAGGTCTTTGGAGTCGGATCACAGCTTTTATTCTGTATTTATTTTTATTTTCTACTCACGTTTGTGAAGGATGTGTTTCAAGGTGATTCAATATAGTCGACTCACCAGTAACGCAAACCCGGAAATGTTGACTAACCCAAAGTTTTATGTTAGAAATGTACAGTATGGGTTATCCTGAAAAATAATGTATCTTTGCCAAGATGCTAATTAAGATATTTTATTTTGAAATAGAGCTCAGCGGTGGACCAACCGTAATGGAGACACTAGAGTTGGGCGTCACTTCATTTAGCTAATTAAAGGAGAATGAGAGCTGAAGAAAGAGTGAGAGGAAACACAGCAGTAGAGACAGAATATTACCACATTTATCTCGGTGAATTAAGGGTTTATTTGGACCAGTTCTGATGATGACAACAGTACAGAGGCTCAAACCAGGACTCTGACTCCAGGCACGGCGAAGACACGGCGGCAACAGAATATTTTCTATTCTCTAATTTATCCAAGAGTCAGCGATTGTTTGAAGCGAGTGTTTAATGAGGAAAACAGGCGTTATAATATTAGCTTTCTTTATATTTTGCGAGTCTATTTAGTCTATTAAAGCTCAGAGAGCTTGTCACGAACTCGCCGCTCATCTCCGAGTTTAAAACCACTGGGTGGCGCAGCTCACGCACGCCGGTTGTTAACATATCGCCCGACCCTGATCTACAGTTTGATTACGTATCAGCTGACATGCACACTCACACTCAGGAGTTAAAGTCGACCAATGTATATATTTCTATCTAATAATTCAAACATTGACTAAAACACATTTTATTCGTAGTTGTCGAGAACATGAGATAAAATGAGGTTTTGCTTTTTTTTCTGTCAGTGGGTTATTTTAAAAGCTACAGGGCAGTTTAGCGATCACATCTTTGGTTGCTAACTGTTAAGCTAGCAGGCAAGCTCTAGTTTGAGTGAAGCTGTACACATATATCTGCAATAAGCTAATGTAAGCTAGCCAATTTAACCGCTGCAGCTGGAAACAACAGTTGTGGTTCATTCGGACTCTGCTGGTGAACGCTGTAGACCCGCTGAAATCATAACGGCAAAGATCAGAATATTGTGAACACGTCGGGTTCGTGGGGTTGCTCTGGTTTCCTCTGATGGGACCAGAATCTTTCCCGCTCAGGAGAATAAACTCGGCTCGGTCTCTGTGCAGCCCAGATGTTCCGGCCCGGGCAGGCAGCGGTTGAAGCATTAGGCCCGACCTCTTATCCATCGGTTCGAGAAGGACTGAGGCCTCTTCGCTGGTGGAGATTTCTTCCACTTTTCCTCTGGCGCCAAATCGAGGGACGACCCGTTCGGTCCCGTAACTCGTCAAAGACCAAACACAGACATCACACGGGGCGGGGCCGGCCTTCTGTGGCTGAGTTGTTTGAGAAGTTGTCTCTCAGCACTTTAAACGGCTTCAAATGTTTTTTGCTAACAAACGACTCCAGCGGCACAGCCAGCTGTACCACGGACGCCGCAGGACGCACAGGAGTCCCTGTAACCACACAACTTCTCCCACACTGATCCTCCGTTATGATGTCCGTCTTCCGCTCCCTCAGCACATGGAGATGGTGACGTTGATCCCCAGGTTACCGTTGTCGGCAAACAGATGGGCGATGGAGGTGTCGAACACCAGGCAGTCGCTGTTCATGATGGCAGCCGCCACCCCATCGTGGATGGAGCGCGGCGTGGCCTCCCAGGTGAGCCGCCGTCGGTTGCCGTTGAGCTCCAGGCGATAGGCGAAGTTCTCTGCTTGCTTGCGGGTGCCGATGAGCAGCACAACGGCAAAGAACTGCTGGTGGCCTTCGTACTTCTCCTGCTTCTCCAGGACCAGCATGAAGTGGTGGCTGAAACACGACTGCATCATCACCCAGTCCACGGCGCCCGGCAGGTTGATGTCCGTCGCCAGGAACACGATGTCTTCACCCTGCAGACACAAAGAAAGACATTTATCTCCCCTACATCCTCCAAAGAAAGGTTCTGGTGGTGAACATTAGAGGTTCTGGTGGTGAACATTAGAGGTTCTGGTGGTGAACATTAGAGGTTCTAGTGGTGAACATTAGAGGTTCTGGTGGTGAACATTAGAGGTTCTGGTGGTGAACATTAGAGGTTCTGGCACTGACCTGCAGCGTGGTGATGGACTTGTGTGCGTGCATCAGGTGAGGCATGACGGCCTCCAGCGAGCCGTGCCACTTGCAGGTGGCTCCGGGACACGGACAGGTGTACGGCCTGAACTCACACACCTCCTCGTGGTCGGGCTTCTCGCTGTGGTGAAGAGTCAGCAGACAGCCGGCCGACGAGTACTGCAGAGAGGACGGAGAGAACACTGAAACACTGAAACTGCAGCTCGCTGTGAGGAAACTTTCCTACTGAATGTGTTCATGGAAATCAAAGATTGTCACATTTTAAATGAACAAAAACAGAATTTATTCCTTGTGGCTGCATAATTAACAGATTACTGAGTGTTAAACCTACAGAAACAGTGTTATAAAACAAAAAGATCCATGAAGGACGTGATGAACGATGAGGAACAATCGACTGTGAGCTCCAGCATGTAAACCTTCACTGTGTAAACCCAGGATTATGTTTCTCATCCTCTAGAAGAGAGTCAGCTGTGGAGGATGTGAGGGAGACCAAGACGACAGAAAGGATTAAACATAGTTCTCCTGCCACAGTGACTCCAGAGAAAGTCTTAATACTTCATGTTTGCTTGACGTGTGAACAGAGAGAGAGAGCTGAAGTGAGCAAGAGGAAAATAATTCTGATCCTGTTTATATTACAGGTTTTGTCAGTTTCATTCTGCAGGTCAATAAAGTCGCAGTTTGTCGTAGTGACACTGAGATCTGTGTGAAACTGCTCAATGAACTTCATCTCTCTGCTGCTAGTCCAACAATCATCTTCATCATCTGAACGGCCTCAACAACTTAATGACAAACTGCAACTTTCTTCACTGGAAAAATTATCTTTTCCGTCTTTTAACATCGAATGTGGAATCAAAACTATTCGTCTCTCGCAGTTTGACTTCACCTCTCTGTTGTTTCTTCCCAAAATGAATCAGACTGTTTGGTCTTTATTCTCTGTGTGACAGTGAGTCTATAAATAACAGATGAGCTTCATACAGTAACAATAAACCCGATGTGTTCTGCTGGGAACTGTTGGTTTCCTCCTGATGAAGCTGTGATAGAAATAAAACCAGACAGTGTTTCTATTCTGGTCCTTCAGCAGCAGATTACAGCGTAATGGCGGCAGCTTTCTCCTCAAATGTTCTGAGATGCTGAAGGTCACAGTGATGGGATTCTCCCTCCCTGCGCCCCCCCTCCTCTTTCATCTTGAACAAAACAGCACCTATAGATAAGAGCGGGAGCCTATAGCGGTGTCCGGGCGGGGGGGGGCACTGATGAGGACGGTAAATGAGGTATGAAATCAGCGATACGACGAGGAGCTCAGGGAGACAGAGAGGCAGTCGGGGGAGGCAGACGGTGTTAGTGATGCTGTTTGAACATCTGAACACGATTCAGCAGAGCATCCATAAACATGAGGAGACGGATACTTACATTTTTACATTATTTATCCATCTGCAGTTATTCTCTCCATTAATTGGTGACAAACTCCCAATGTCACAGAACCTTTAGTGAGGTTGCTTTGGTTAACAAACACCAAACACCACGGAAACATTTTGGACATTTTACGCTTGAAAACATCAGGATAAATTCAGCTCCAATTAACTGTTCAATTAAAACATTTCATCACACACACACACACACACACACACACTGGGAGCCAACAAAAAAATTGCAAAGTTCTGTGTTTTTAGTTTCTTACAGTGTTTTAGAATTCCGTCTTTTTTTCTTAAAAACAAAGGACATCATATCTTTAAAGAGTATAATATAACATCTGTTGTTTAAATCTCAGTTTTTGTTGCATTGTTTAAAACTTAATTCTTGAATTAAGCTCTACTCTAAACTGAAAATATGTATGAAGCTGCATGTGAAGGAGAAACTACGGCCGTAAAACGCATGAAAAACAGCCCTAAAGCCAGTGTTTGGTCTGTTCATTTTCTGTAGATCAACTCATCGAGGATCCTAATAACTGCTGACACACTGTCTCCACACAGATTAAACTGTGATTAGATTAAAATGTGCTTCATAATTTCCCTTTTTAACTAACATTTTTCTGAGGCAGCAGCTCCACAGACTGTCTGTGCTGCTCTGCTGGGTGTCGAACGTCATGTGCAGTGGATGAAACACTTCCACAGGTGCCAGAGGAAACAGGAACAGGCAGTGGGAGGATGATGGATGACTCCTTTTATTCATGAATACATCACTCTATCCTCTCTCTCTGGTTCTGTTTACTCAGTCCGGTGACACATTTCTTATTTACAGCAGCAGACTGGTGACAGCGACGCTGACCCAGAATCAGGTTGAGAGCGGCAACCCGACCGGCTGTGAGGACGCCAGACCTGATCTGACAGAAAGATATATTACATTATTCTGATACAACCCCCTTAAATAGTACAAGTAAAAAGGCAGTAAATCTTCTACTTTCATCTCTGTCGCTCAGTACCAGTCGGGTAAAAGCTAAATGAGTTGAAGCTCAACTGTGAACCCATCTGTTTGTGGAGAACCGTTTTGAAGCCTCTAGTTCGTCGTTACGGTCGACGCCATGACAGTTTGCTCTCATTGGCTGCTCTTGGTTTGGAAACAATGGCGGCTCGTCTGCTCACACAGGATCTGGTGTTCCAGATAAACAGTAAAATGTGTTTGTGAACAGATCTGAGGAGAGAAACAGTCAACAACAGAATCTGGATCCATATCTGATCAGCACTGTTTGACAGTTTGATCTGAGTTTGGTTGAGCTGGACGGACTCACTGAGAATGAGCTGTCAATCACAAGGTAGCCCCGCCCTAAAGCATACCCTGCTTTATGGTCTGTTTTACTCTAAATGGGACCATCAGTTACTAAATGAACATCATGCTGTATGGAAGAAGACTGAAACTAGAGACTGAGACCAGAAACTCATCAGGAAACTGTTTACTGAGCTCATAAATCAACTGAGAAGTCGGATCATTTCTCCATAAGACTGAATGGTATCAGTGTGTTATTGCAACCAGTGGAGCGCCCCCTGCTGGCTGTTACACAGAATGCAGATTTACGACTTCACAGACCCTAGTTTGTTCTGATCCTTCAGTCCCTGTTGCTCCTGCAGGTCTTTGGCAGCAATACGAGGTTTTTCTCAGCTGTTGTTTTTGAACGTTTGATGAAATAAATAAATAAAATAAAAACCAGAAACCAGACTAACACACTTTCATAAGGACATTAAATTAGCTTGTGTGTTTCAGATGAAATCATGTTTGATCTATCAATAACTGGAGTAATGGATTGGGGTTAGCTGTTGTGTGATGAAGCTAGAGGAAGGTGACACAGCAGGAGGTTTGGTGTCTGTCTCATTAAATATTCATGAGCTGCAGGTCAGAGCGCAGCAGCAGCTTCCTGAATGCTCACAAACAAACCCTGATTTCAGCCCGTTGATCAGTTTTATAGATCACACAGTCGATTCTTAGTTCAGACGACGACGGGTCAGAACAATTTGTCAACTTGTCCCAAAAACACACACACACACACACACACACACACACACACACACACACACACACACACAGGTTTACTTCTCTAAATCCCCTGAAAAATTCATTAATGCAGCTGGATAAGAGGATTCGTGTCTTGTGTGTGTGTGTGTGTGTGTGTGTGTGTGTGTGTGTGTGTGTGTGTACCTGCCAACGCCCTCCTTTGGGTGATCTGCTGATGTTAGACTGTGATCTAATGCAGTGGTTCCCTTTGAACTCAGTCACTGCAGGAAGTTTGTGTAGATTTGGATGAATTTTATATTAAGTATTCTTGTTTTTTAGCAATCATACAAATTTAATCGGCTTCTTTTTCTGACTAATTCAGTGTTTTTTTTGTCCTTTGTTCTGATAGACAATTAACAGACAGACAGCTGAAGACAGACTTGTTTGGGTAACTTGCATCACATCAAATTTAATATTTTTATGGTATATTTTTTACTGAGTTATATGCATGTGTTTATGTGTGTGTATACATATGTACATATATTTTAGGGTTTTTGTAGGTTGTGTTTGTGTGTTTATATTTATACACTGCTTTATTCTATGATGCACTGTTCCTCCATTTGTTGTATATTTCCTGTTGTACTGTAAAGCATTATATGATTTTATAAATAAAATTGCACTTTTCCTCAGTTAGTGAACTAAATGCTAGGATATCGGCCTACTGTGTATATTTTTTAGGGCTGAAGCTATCGAATATTTTCGTAATCGAGTATTCTATAGAATATTCCATCGATTCATCGAGTAATCGGATAAAACATACTTTTGCTTAATTAAAGCCCAATTATAAATATACAATAGAAAACAAGACAGATCACTGTTTTCAGTTTTCAGTCCCGGCGTCTGCCGTTCTGTACAGCAAAACTGTCCACACACGTTACAGAGCCCGCTTCCGTCTTCTTCCGCGTTGCAGGGGACGCATAGCCTGTGACATAAGCACGTTGTGTCACACTAAAAAGAATCCGTGCAAAACGTGAGCTTTACGAGGCTTCAAGGCAGACGAAATTCCTCGATCATTCTTTGAAATCGAGTTACTCGAGGTACTCGAGGAATCGTTGCAGCCCTAATATTTTTTAAGCTTTCTTACACCCTTAAAATTCGAAAAAGGCCTTGCGACCCCCCCTTGAAGCTTTGGCGACCCCTAGTGAGGGTCCCGACCCTCAAGTTAAGATCTAAGGCAGTGTTTCTCAAATGGAAGAACACGAACCCCTAGAGGTACTTTGGAGTACTGCATTACTATTATTATTCATAAATAAAACTATCAATCATGCCTCGTTCCTACAATAATCCATAAAAAAATTTAAATGTAAGTTCAATAAACTTCTTAAAATTACTATTCAACACGATTGTTAACTGCTGTAAAACCTAACAGAGGAAGAACAAACTTATTAACTATCCACCGTCTGTTACACATTATAATATTCAGTGAGTCTGTCTGATCCAACAATAAACAATAAACAGTAAACAACACACACTCACATTAACTGATCAAAATTCTTCAACCAGCATGAAATAAATACTGTAAATATCAAACTGAAGGGTGCCCGGTTAGCTCAGTGGGTAGAGCTGGCGACCCATGTACTGAGGCTGAGTCCTTGCTGCAGCGGCCAAGGGTTCGAATCCGACCTGCAGCCCTTTACTGTGTGTTGTCTCCTCTCTCTGCCCCCCTTTCCCGTCTA